CAACAAAACATGACAGCATGCCAAAAAATAAACCTGTGATTGATCCAATACAATTTTAGTAACTAAAATTTTAGTGTTCTATCTATGCTTCCAGACCTTGAAAAAGAGTTCATGATTTTATGTGCATTGTCTTGTTAATGGTCTCAAATATTAATTTCAGCTGTATTATTATCTTTCTGATTACTTGTGCAACATTTTCAGAAATCGATGCTTATGGCCATGAAAAAGTGTGTGCTGTAAGTGTTTTCTCGTCAGTAATGGTATCAAATAATTCATAATTGAATGACAGAAGTTACAAGCCTTGAATTTACTTGTAAACAAAAGGATCTCAGCAAGATGTTCATGCCTTTAATTTGTCATGATCTTTTTCCCATAGGATGTCATCGCCCTTATGAATTCGCTGGTAAGTCTATTATTATCATTTTCATCATTAATAATTATTTATTATTTTCATTGATGACTTTCTTGTTAACTTGATATACTCCTAATAAAAGAAACTTTCAATTAGTTAATTATAATAGACAATGTTGGAGGCCTGGCTGGGTTTGTTGTGCTCTTGCGCTAAACACTTAGGGAGTAGAGGGCTTGTTAAATGAAGTAGATGGCTGACACCAATTTGAGTGCCAATTTAGGGACAAGCCTCTAGGGAGGTCTGGGGGCATGCTTCCCAAGAAAATTTTGAAATTGAGAGGCTCTGAAATGCTATTTTACGCATTCTCTGGGAGATTCAATTTTGGATAAGGCCAAAATGGCAAGAATATTAAGGGATCACAAAGCTGTCAAAGGGCCACTTGATGTCTAAGTGCTACCTCATTTATGTTCAATTAGTATATACAACAAGCTACAGTCGTGGGTCGTGATCTTGGTGGATTTATTGTGTGGGAACTAAGTCTTCATTATCCTGAACGGATTCTGTAAGTAACTTTCCTAAGTGTGTACAGTTTAGTTAATATTTATAATACAAATAGCCCATTTTTAATGAAATTTAACATTTTTTTGTAAGTTATTAAATAGCATTGACAGATGTTACTAACTATAGAGAATATGCTACATACTGTTATGGCATCAGATTTTATTATTACACTGTAATAGACATCAAAGATAGTTTGTACTGGGGAGACCCTGTAAGGACTATAGAAAGTGTGGACCTGCATTATTGAAGAGTCTATTAAAAGGGTTACTTTTGGAGAAAGTATCACTATTGAGCTTTAGACCAAAACCACTTGTCTATAACATGTAGGTTATATCGGTTATGCTAACCCACGATTAAAAGTTAACAGAAGTCTAAATTTTTCTTGTATAAATTAAACTGTTTTCATAGCTTATGTTTTTTGTAGGTTGAGGTTATTCAAACCCAAAACAGAAGGCCAAACAATTTAAACAGAAAACCTTGAGCCCCTACAAAGTTACAAAACTCAAATGAAAATTCTTGCTAATCCTGGGCTAGCTTACATGTGATCAGGGTTTGAACAACCTGGGCCTATCCTTAAGTAAGCCACTGTTAGTTGTTTCTCTGTAGTTTGTAAAGTAGGGTTCCTTAATTAATAGTTACCAAATGAATGAATGAATGAATGAATGAATGTTGTTCCTCCTATTTTCAGAGCTGTGATAAATATGACTCCCTTTATACCTACTTTTCCTAATATTAACCCACTGGAGAGATTGCAGGCAAACCCAGGGATATTTCAATATCAGCTTTATTTTCATAAGGAGGTCAGTTGAGAAACAGTCAATATTTATTTAATAATACAGGCACTCAGGATTTAACACTTGGCAAGTGTAACCCATGTTGAAATTAGTTATTATTTTTATTGAATATCATTAATATCAATAGGGAATTTACATTTTAGTCTCTCTTAAAGTACTGTAGTATGTCCAGATGACTGTTGGTTTGGAGGGGAGATGGCCTCTAGGTGAATGTGCTGGCCTCCAGATCAAGCAGTCTGGGTTTGAGCCCTGGCCAGAAACATTGTGTTGTGTTCTTGGCCAGCAAGACACTTTACTCTCACTGTGCCTCTCTCCACCCAGGTGTGTAAATGGGTACTGGTGAATTTAATGCTGGGGGTAACCCTGTGATGGACTAGCATCCCATCTGGGGGGGAGAGGAAATACTCCTAGTTACTTCATGCTACAGAAAGCGAGATGATGGGCCACTTGGCTTGTATGCAAACTTTACCTTTACCTCATTTGAGATTCATGTCAAATTTCTGTCAGGGTGTTGCAGAGCAAGAACTTGAGAGGGACATAGAAAGATCATTCATCCTGTTAATGAGAGGTGCTAAAGATATGGTGAGACATTATTTTGAAAAATGGAACTTGATTTTATTGCTTATTTTGATGTACTGGTACATTACTGTAGGGAATTATTGAAACAACTTTATATACCGGTATGAATTAGTATTTTTCTTTTTGCAAACAAACTGAAAATTTGTGAGTTTAAAAATAGTCATGGCTAAACACTGACCAATCACTTTCAACAGACCAGACTTATAACACCATCTATTGACAAACACTATTCACTTGACTCTGAAGATGACTTCTGGTCAGGTTAGCGAAACTTCAGTCACCAACAACAGTTCTTTTCAGAACTACATGTACCCTCACCCGGACAACCACAGTATAATTATGAACTACTGATACTCTTGGGTTCAAACCATTTACTATTTTACTAATAAATTATGCATGTTCTTAGTTTGGGAAGACTTAAATTGCACATCAGAATGGTGCGGCATAGCTCTTTCAATGTGTAGTTGCAGAAAATATCCATTCCCACATACACTCCTTTTACTGAGGGTTTTCTTGTTTGAAATTCATCCCCTTCCAAACCCCCATCCCCCTGGAAATTCCAGTTTTGGATAATACTTTCCTTATTTCTGATATTCTTCCTTGGGGTGGCTATGAAATCAATATTTTCTTGAAACAGCTTGCTGGAAGTAGTTCATTAACAGCTAATCACTATTTGTTTTGCTATGAACATTTAATATTGTTTTGATTTTCATTTGAACAGCTTCATTTAAGTACTGCTGATGTACTAGAAAGAGGTGGGTATTGATTTCTATTAGTGATATAATTGAAAGAGT